ACAAACAAACCCCAAAACAAATAAATAAACATTATTGTACAAAGGTGAAAAGAATGATAAAAGAATATTATAAACTATGGCCTAAAATCAACATCTTATAAACAATAGACCACTTCCTTAAAAAATGAGTAAAACTAACTCAGACTGATACAAATAACCTCAATAGTCACTTATTTATTAAACAAGTTTGAATGAACATTTGAAAAACTTCCACCAAAGAAAAATCAACCCACAGATGGTTTCATTGGTAAATTCTACCAATCAGTTAAAGAAAAAAGAGAAAAACTCTAACTGTATATAATTTCCTCCAGAAAAAAAGAAGAGTGAATGTTTCCCAGCCCATGTTATGAAGCCAGCATTCTCTGATATCAAAATTAGATGACATATTCTAAGAAAAGAAATCTACAGACCAACATTTCTCATGAACATAGGTACAAAAATCCTCAAGAAGGTATTTTGGCAAATTTAATGCAGAATATATAAAATATATAACACATCATGAGCAAGTACAGATTATCCCACGGTCAATTCAATATTTAAAAATAAAGAAATTATTTAGCTCAGTAGTTCTGCTGCCTGCCTCACAAGCGCAAGGTCCCAAGTTTGATCCCCGGCCCTGCCCCCCCAAAAAGAGATATCAATATAATTCACCATATCTACAGACTACACAGATCAGCTCAATAGATGCTAAAAGTACATTTGACAAAATTCAATATTCTCAATGGGAACAATTCTCAGCAAACCAAGAATAGAAAAGAACTTGATAACACACATCTATAAAACACACACAAACACTCACACTCACACACACACACAAGCCCTCCAGTTAGCTAAGTACTTAATGGTGAATGTGAGTACTTTCCCACTAAGATTAGGGACAGGTCAAGGGTGTCCTCGCCTGTCACTCCTCTTCAATGTCATACAGAAAATCCTAGCCAGTACATTGAAGCAAGTAAAAGAAATATAGGCTATATAGGTTGAACAGAAAACAAAATCAGCTCTATTCATAGATAACATCATTGAAAATTCCAAGTAATCTATAACAAAGATTCTGACAAATAAATATAAAAGAAAGAAAATAGACAATCATCATTAGCTGAGTCTCGTCACTGGGACAAAATACCCAGCAGCCACAACTTTAAAGAGGAAGGTTTATTTTGGCTTATGATTTTTAGAGGATTCGGTCCACAGTCAGCTGGCTGTAAGCAGAATGGTGGAAGGGTGTGACAGAGGAGAGCTGCTCACCTCAGGAGGTTTGGGAAGCAGAGAGGGAAGGGAGGAGCTGGGAAGGGAGATGAACCCTTCCAGCTCAAGCCCCCAGGGACTCACCTCTTCTGACCAGACTCTATCTCCTCACTGCACACACAGCTACTGTGCTCATCCCTGGAAGAAGACACTGGTGATTATAGCACCTTCCACACACATGAGAATGTGGGGGAACATTTTAGCTGTAACTCACAGCACCCACTAGTGGGCCCATGTTGAAAAGATGGTGAAAGAGTTGGGGGAAACCAGACTGAGAGAACCCCGGAGAGATGACCTAGAGTTGGTGACTGCTCTGCATCAGCTCCCCTAGCACCCTCTGCTCAAACCCCACCACGGGAACCCAGCAGGCCCTGCCCCTTTCCCTTCCAGGCCTTGGATGGCTACACCTCCCCTCCTGACACCAGGGCGGAAAAGTGCAGAGCACTGCGTGGTGCCTGGAGTGGATTGAGTTGCTTACTGCACCAGACTTGCTAAAGAGTAACAGAAGAATTTGGTCTTATTATTGTTGTTTTAACTTATTTCTATGGACAAATGAAATTATATTAGCGGTGTATGACATGATGTTTTGATACAAGAAAACATTGTGAAATGATTAAATCAATCTAATTAACATATCCATCTATATATAGACAACAAAGACTTTTAAAGGTTCTGTAGTATTCCATTGTGATATATACATGCACAATTTTAATTTTAATTGATGATCATCTTAAACATGAATTTTGTTTTTTAACTTTTATTTGTATATGTTTACAGCACATAATGATTGCATTCATTATGGAGAATTGGTATATGTTCATAACAAACCTCAATTCTCTTTTCCCCTTCCTCTCCACCCTCATTTTAAACTTTTTTCCCTTTTTGCCACTATCAGATTTATTATTTTATGTCTCTTATAATTTAACTATCACAAACAGATTAACAGCTACACCAACAGGCCAAAAGAACACATAAAACAATCATACTTAATTAAAGTATACTTTTAGGTTCATCGTCCATGCTAGATTACAATAACTTTTTACTCTTTCTTTTCTTTCCCACTGTCTGTCCTTTATTTTGCACTTTATTTATATACTGGGTTTCTCATATAAGAGAATTATGTGATATTTAAGCTTGTGTGTCTATTACACTTCACTTAATGTTATGGTCTTGAGGTGCAACTATTTTACTACAAATGACTCATGTATTTTTCTTTATGGCAGAGTAGTACTCCATTGTGCATAAGTACCACATTTTCTTTATCCATTCATCAGCTGATGTACATATAGGTTGTTTCCAAGATTTGGCTATTATGAATTGTGCTCTAATATGATGTCTTTAACTCTTTCAGGAAGATACCTAGAAGGGGAATAGCTGAGTCAAATGGGATTTCTATTTTTAGTTTTTTAGGAATCTCCACACTGATTTCCATAGTAGTTGTATTAGTTTATACTCTCACTGACAATAAAGAAGGGTTCCTTTTTCCCATGGTCTGTCCAGCATTTGTTATTGTTTGATTTCTTTTTTTTTTTTTTGTACCAAGGATCGAACTCTGGGCCTTGCTCTTTTGCAAGGCAGGTGGTAGAGCCACTGAGCTAAATCCCTGGCCCCTGTTTGATTTCTTAATGAAGGCCATTATTTCTGGAGCAAGATGGAACTTCAGTGCTGTTTTAATTTGCATTTCTCAAATGACCAATGATGTTAAACATTTTTTCATGTATTTATTTATTATCTGTACTTTTTTCTGAGAAATGTCTATTCATTTCAGATGCCCATTTATTGATTGAGTTTTTTCCTTTTCTGAGACAAGTTCTTGCTATGTAGTTCAGGCTGGCCTTGAGCTCATAGAAATCCTCCTGCCTCCCAAGTGCTGGGATTATAGGCATGTGCCACCACACCTACCCTTGATTGAGTTTTTAATGAAAATGAATTTTGGACATTCAGCAAGCAAGCAAGCAAAGGAGCATCAATGAAGATTGTTAAAGCCAGAAAAATCATACTTTACAAAAATGATTTCAGTTACAGTGTTAGACAAATGGCTAGACATTTTTTTTTTTTTTTTTTTTTTTTTTTTGTACCAGGGATCAATCTCAGATCCTTGCACTTGTGAGGCAGGTAGCAGAGCCACTGAGCTAAATCCCAGCCCCTAGACTCTAAACAGATGATTGACTCTATTCATTGGTAATTTTTATATAAAATAGAATGCATTCATGTTTTTATCCAATGAGATTACATGTACCTTGCTATCGCAAATCCTAAATTAGCAAGCTCTGAATTAACAAGATATGTCTTGTTACCAATAGCTTGTGAAAAGAGAGAAGCTATGTCACAAGTAACTTCATTGATTAATCTTTGTAATTTAACAAGTTAGGTATAAATTTAATACTCTTTCCCAGGATAAGGTGGCCAGTTATCTTACAGATACTAATATTTCTTATAGAACATATTTCCTCCTCTTGTTTTTAAAAACAAGTCCTGAGGGAATCCTACTGTAGGGAGATCTGCTAATGTCCACGCTTGAGTTCCTGTCAAATGTGGGGTTCTAAACTCAGTTTGTAAACTATTTTTCATGTGTCTGTAATCTCTGTTTAATTTTTTAACAACTCAATCTCAATTTTAGTGTCTTTCAACCATTTATAATGCCCCTGTAATTCTAGAGGACTTTAAAATTAAGGTAAGTTCAAGACAAGAAAAAAATTTAGAAAAAGAAAAATCCCTTCCAGTGGGCTATGGAAGTGCTGTGCCCAGTGTTATAAAAGTCTCCAAGTAAGACACAGGGCTGAGAAATTATTCTGCCTTCTCACTACAGCCTGCTACCCTGCCTCCTCCTTGCTTTCAGTCCTTAACACCCAGACCTTACTGTTTATCCCACAAATTCATGACTTTTGAACAAAGTCTAACATTACGAATATAGATCCTCTGAAATATTAATGAAGTATCAGATGGGACAACTGTGAATGTCTGAGTACCAAAAATATTGCATTGTGAAATTTATGAAATTTATGGTCACCCAGTGGCTTACAGTTCTTGAAATAGAGTGAAGGGGACCCTTCAGGCCATAGGATCTTCACCCAATGATTCGACCAATTTTGGATGGGAAGTATTTGGAAAAAATATGTCTGTACCAAATATGTGCAGAATTTTTTCTTGCCATTGTTCCTTAAATAATATAGTATGACAGCCATTTATAGGGCATTTATACCATAGCAGGCATAGTAAGTCATCTTGAGATGATTTAAGCACACTGAAGGTGTGTATAGTTTCTATGAAGTACTCTGCCATTTTATATGAGGGACTTGGACTACCATGGATTTTATTATTCTTGGGGTGAGGTGGTCCAGGAACCAAAGCTCCTCAGATACTGAAGAGTGCCTGTTCTGAAGGACAGAGATTTATCAAATTTTAAATATATTGACTCCTGACATTAGATTAACGTGACCTGATCAGGTGGGTCAAACCTGTGGTCTGCCATCCCACATACCTGGCTTTCCCAGGCCACACTGTGCAGAGAGTTGTCTTGGGCTACATATAAAATATATAATATAATTAATGTATGTAAAGAACAAAATTTCCTTTTTAAAGCTATTTTTTTTATTACAACATAGGGCTGTGGAACCCACAGCCACAGGTTGGACATGTGCAGGTATGACGGTGATACCACCCTCAGAACATTCCTTAAAATTTCTGTCCTGTCAATAAATTCAGTACACAGGTGAAAAACTCAGGCCACTTCCCCCAGCTTCTTTGTCACTTACCTTAATCTCTCTAATCCAGGACTGAGCCTGTTCCAAGTTATCTTCATTAATTTCAGCAAGTTTGTCCCGCCACGCAACTGCCTGGCCATCAAATGTCACGAAATTGAATTTGCTTTTGTATTTCAGCTGTTCCTATAAGAGATGATTACTATTTAACCATAAAACCACTCACATTTAAGAAAGCCCAGGACAGCTCACAGCTTGACACATTTTAATCACTAGGATATCCATTCTCAGTGTTAGAAGCTGAAAATTATGTTCAGTAGCAAAAATCATTTCTAGTACAAAAGGCATTTAAATAAAATTTATACTTAGTTTGGATGGAACACATTTTATGGATATATATCACATATGTCACATAATGAGCAAATTATAGATAATAATTATATGTGATGTTAAATGCTGACTTTAATACTGATATTAACAGTGTACTGGATAAGCATACGAAATGCAATATGCCTAAAGAATAGAAATCCAAAATATCATCATTTTGGTCATCTTTTAGGTCATCTTTTAATTATTCAGTGTAAGACCTATTAACTTGCTACATATTAGCCCACATTTCTCCAGTAGAGTTTTATCAAATTACAACTATATTTAGTGTTTCTCACATTCTTCCCACTATGATTTCTGTGGTCGACACATCAATCTGACAGATGCATGGCAGGACTGTGACACCCACTTATAGGGGCAGAAACTGAGCTTGGGAAACCACAGCGACCTGTTCAGGTCCCACAGCTCAGAGGCAGTGCAGTTAGACTGAGAACCGGCTGCTTCTGCTCATCCACCTAGGCTCCTCCTGGGCAACAGTTCTGGGCATATACACAGCATCAGTAACAAACACTGGGGGCTAAAATGCAAATGCCAAAATAATAAACATCTGGAAAATGATGGAGGCTTCTGTACACCAGCTTTCAGGATAATGAAAAGTTGAAGCAATTAATATAAACACTCCCTTGAAATCCTGTGTGTGCCAGAAAAGACACAACAGAGAACAGGTCTGCTTGCAAAAGAGAACCAATGATTTGCTAACTGGCAAAGGGGAGCTTTTCCCGAACTGGTTTCTCATGGATTTTTTTTTTTGCAAAACTTCCCTGTCCATGGGAACCATTACAGACAATGATTGCTGGAGTTGCATTTATGACACACAGGCCCCAAACACACAACACTGAAAGTTCTGCCTGACCTGCATAAACCTGATAATCTTGCCCTTCACCAGGTCCAGTTTGCTCTTCATCGAGTGAGATGTGTCAATGAGGACATAGATGCAATCTTCACACACTTTCCCAAAGAGGACTTGGCTCCCATTCTGCAGCCACTTAATCCTGGCAGGACGAAGTTTCAAAGTGAATGGTTAATGCCTTCAGTCACAAATCATCTTCCTCAGAGCTTAATTATACATCTGCAGAAGCCAGAGTTGTGCTATGTATTATGTAGACACCATATTCAGCAAGTGGATTATTCACTTGGAGGTCTTCTGCAGCAAATTCGACATTTGGGCTGGCTCCCTTATCAGTGCTTTTCACTACCTGTCATCCATCTGAGTGAATCCTAACTAAGTTCTTCTATATGACAGAAAAATAAATCCAGTGTGAGTGCCAAAGCTAAAAGTATGTTCCTTCTAGTCATCTCCTCTGTAGCGGTCCTCAGCTATGGTTTCCAACCATTTGTTCTTCTAATCCTGCTGAGTATGGTCAAGCTGGAGAAGCCAGCACATTCCAGAAACTCCTGTGGAGCTTGTGGACAGTGTCAAGCAATGCCAAGCCTGGTGACAACCGAGCTCCAAGTGCTGGGTGCACAGGACTGCTTCTATGGGCCATGCTCAGGTGCCCAGCACTGGATACTAATGAAGCACGTGGCTGCAAGGGAAACTGGGGGAGAGGAAAGAGAAATAGCTTAATGGAGTTCAGGGTTTAGTAAGACCTAGCCAACTAGAATCTGTAGGGCAAAAGGCTGAAGAGTGTGGTTACTGCACAGAAGGGTAGAAAGAGAGAATATAGAGGAAATACACAGAGAGAGAGAGAGAGAGAGAGAGAGAGAAGAAAGGAGAGGATAGGAGAATGGAGAAGAGAGAAAAGAAGGAGAAGGAAGAAGAGAGGAGTGGAGAGATATGTGAGAGAGAAGGTGGAAAAGGAGAGATAACTTGCTCCAGAGATGTGCAGAAAGCGGCCTATGAGATTTTGGCAAAGTGATGATTGAAGCATGCCTTAGAAGAAACTACTGAAGCCAAGGAACAAATCACCAAAAAGGAGTAAGTGGATCAAGTCCCCTGAGCTCCTCCCTCCAGCCAGAGTGGGGGAATCTGCTTAAACCACAGGGGATGAAACGGAATCCTGACAGAGTTGGGCCTGAGGAGTGGGATCAAAGGAGCCCTAAGATAAAGGCTACCACAACCTAAAAGCAAGACTTAGAGAATCAAATTGATTCCATGTAACTCAACTGAGACGAGGAACACATAAAATACACGAGGTCCAGCATCTAACAATGTAAAATTCAGTTTTTGGTTATTCGGTCACAAATGAATGGGCCTGCAAAGAAGCAGGAAAACATGATCCAAAATCAGAAGAGAAATTGATCAATAGAAAGCAAACCCAAAACAACACAGATTGCAGAATTAGCAGAAAAGGTTGTTTCTATTACAGTGATTACAAATGTAATTCATACATTCAAGATGGTAAAGTGTGAAGAAAATTAGAAGAGAAATGGAAGATATAAAAAAGACTCAAATGCAACTTTTAGAAATACACGATATCTGAAATGAAAAAATTTAGTATTAACAGTAATTATGTAGACATCAGTTGAAAAGATCAGAAAAAAATTTTAAAAGACACTGCAATAGGAACTAATACAAAATGAAAGAGAGAAAGAAAGACTAAAAAATTCAAGTGACTAAGTAGCTCACGTAACAATACCAGGGAGTCTAAGACATGAACGAGAGAGAAGAACGAAACAAAAGACATTTGGAAAAATGTGATTAAAATGTTTCCAATTTTTCACTGAAGCAATATATCTACAAATAGAAGGTCAAAGAGCCAAAAAAAAAAAAAAAAAAAAAAAAAAAAAAAAAAAAAAAAAAAAAAAAAAAAAAAGCAAAATGAAGAAAACCACACCAAGACACATCATAAAATTGATGAAATAAAGAAAAATCTTAAAAGAAGCCAGACACAGAAAAATACACATTGCATGTAGAGGAACAAACCTAAAAATAACAAGAGCCTTTTAATCATAAATCATGCACAGCAAGAGGAAGAGTTTTTAATAACAAAAGATAAAAATTTTAAACTAGAATTCTGTGGGTAGCACAAATATATTTTTAAAAATAAAGATAAAGAGTTTTCCAGACTAAAACAGCTGACAGTTATTCATCACTAACAAACCTGTATTACAAGAAATGCCAATGGACTTTCTTTAGGCAGAAATATAATTATGTCAAATGGAAACTTGGATCCATAAAAGGAGTAAAGAGTAATAGAAATATCAAGTGTGTGGATGAACATAAAATATACTTGTTCTAGTTTCTAATCTAGTTATAAGATAATGGACTATTTGTAATGTGAAGCTTATAGCATATGTAGAAGTGCAGGATATTAAAGGAAAAGAAAAGGGAGAAAAAGGAAGGTGTAAGATATTAAAATAAACATGAAGTGATACAATATTATTTGCAGGTAGACTGTGATAGTTAAAGATGAATATCGTGAATGCTAAATAGTCACACACATTAAAACAAAACAAAGAGGTGGTGTTAATGAGACAACAGGTGGAGATTAAAAGGAATCATAAATACTTCAAAGAAGGCACAAAAAATTAAAAAGAGAACAAACTATAACCATTTGGAAAGTAAGCTACATGTTTCTAATAAGCCTTTGGTCAAAGAACAAATGACAGAAGAAACTTAAACCCAAAGTAAAGAGAAAAAAGGAAATTTAATAAAGTTAAGTGCAGAATTCAATGGCACAGAAAGAGAAAACTATTTGTCTGTATCTGTATCTACATCTATATCTATATCCAGTGAAATAAAAAAGCTGATTCTTTGAAAAGATCAGGGCTGGGGATTTAGCTCAGCGGTTTGGTGGCCTGCCTTGCAAGTGCAAAGACCAGAGCTCAATCCCCGCTACCAAAAAAACAAACAAACTTATAAAGAGCATTACTTTTCCTACTTTATAAATGAGGAAACATGCAAAAAGACAGTGGCAGAGGTGGGATTAGAATCCAACTTTATCTGACCTCAGAGCCCACACACCTGAATAAATTTAGTCTTCTAGAATAAAACTGTCCCCCAGCCTCTGGGAAGTGAAGGTGTTAAGGTAGATCATCCTCATACGGCCAACCCTGAGGTCACAGTATTAGTACACCAGGTTCATGAGCATGATCGAGTTTAAGACCCAACAACATTGAGAAGGATGACATGAAGTTACTTTAAGTTTATTTCAGTGTACATACATAAATATGTATACACATAGATATATATTTTAATTGTTTTCTAGTATTTCACAACCTTGCAATAGCTGCTTTGAAACATTCAGGAGCACAGGGGACAGGTGTAATTCAGTCTGCAAGGTAACTGATCCACAAAAAAAATCCAAAACATGATCAGAAGCTTTCCTCAGCCAACAGTGGAGTATAACCAATGTGATGACTACACCTTGTTCGCTGTTTGTAAGACTCTGCACTGGCATCCAGGCAGCTGGTCTCTGAATTCAAAATATCCCCCTTCTGTTGATAACAAGGCCATTAGATGGCAACCTGAGGGTTTATTGGCCATTTCTCTTAGTTGAGGTTTTATCAAGATATCGCACAGGTTTGCATTTTAAGGGATTCTACATCACTTGTACCCTCCTATGAATACACTGACCTCTTCTGGATTCTGGCCAGGGCTGTGTGCATTTTCTCATTGTACCACTTGTACTTCTCCTTGGTGATATTGACATGGACCAAGCTCCCATCCTTCCAGGGAGCGTGGACAAACTTGCTACAATATTTTGCATGGATTGTCTTCATGTTGGTCTCCTAGGGGAAGGAGAAAAGAGTCATTCAGAAACTAAAGAAGAGGGTCCAGGACGGCACGCCTCCCTTGCCTTATTTATGCAATTCGTGGCACTCATTCTCACCATAGGATCATTCAATTTCTGCTCCATAGGGAGACCTGTGCTAGGTATAGGCAATGTTCAGAAAGACAGATGTGATTCTATCCCTGCCCAATAGATTCCATCAGGAGGGAAAAGGTGTGTGGGGGGTCAAGGGGGTGGGGAGAGAACATAAGAATATACTGGTAAAGAAAAAAGCCTCACAGAGCACTGGAGGGTCAAGGGAGACCATTCTCGAGGTAGGGCCTGAGTCTCACACATAGCATTTTTCTTTGTTATTCCCAGCTGCAAAGAGAGCAAAGTAAGTAGCTGAGAACCCCATCTGAGATCTAAGCATCTTCTCCTGAGACCTGCAGACCTGGTCCAAGAACAGAGGCTCCAGTAAGGAGCACTCTGCTCTGTCTGTCACTGCTCCTCACCAGGAGCTCCTCCAGGCTCCAGGAATAAAGTCCATAAACAAAGACTCCAAACCCTGCCTACAGAGCTCACGTTAAGAGCAGGAGGGCCAGAGGGAAGACAAAGTAGAAGAGGGCAGGGCAAGTGACATCAAATGCTATGGGGGATATAGGGCAAGGAAGGAAAAGAGGACAAATTAAACCTAAGATATAAGACAGACTGGAAAGGAAGGAGTGTGGCCATGGGAAGGGGAGTTACCTAACTTCCAGAGGCCCCACAACCTCATTTTCTCATGTGTAAAATGAGAGTGCACAGTTTTACCTTCCATATAAAACATAAAGACATTGCACAAGTGCTAACTTTTAACTCATAATGCTAATATTTGCAACACATAAAAGGTACCATTCAACTGGGCATCTATCTCCTAAGTGTTTGGTATTGTGCTCAGACATGTAGTTTTTAATTTCCACTTTACAACACCCGTTTTACAGATATGGAGAACAGGGCTGTCAAAATATCAGCAGATGAAGTCTTTTTAGTCACTTATTTCTCAGTACAATGGCTTTTCTGGATCTGTACTCATAAACCAGTTAAAAATTTTGGTGGGGTCCAGTCCAGAAGAATCCTGGGGAGCCTAAACAATCTACATATTTAACATGTTTTGCTTTAAAAGGTTTTTAATGGGGTTTCTCCCTATTTTATACACATCGTAATCTTAGGGGTAAATCCAGTTTGGGACCAGTCGTCTTAAATACTAAATGTAAAAATTTCCCTTTTCATCAATATTTGTGAAAGACAATAATAGCATTACTATATAATTCTCAACCTTTATCATATTATTATTCACCAGCACAAAAAATTTGAGGCAAAATTACCCTTTTAAAAGCCAGATTCTTCAAACCTACCCTGCAAAATTTCATTTACAATTGTCAAAAAGTAAAGAAATCAGTGTAAGCTAGCTCTGGGCCTGCTGCTTTGTCAGGAGTCTGCAGTAAGCTATATCCAAACTGACAAAGATTAATATTTTTTAAAGATCCATTTAAATGAAAATTTAGTTATGTGTGACTTCCTGAACATTACTGAATAATGTCTACAGAACTAGAGAAATGTTCTGGGGGAGGAAACCCACAAATGAGATTTTCCTGCACTGTGGCAATTGCTTGCATCCCAGGGTATGCTGGGAAACAAGCCTTGCGTCAATTCTGCAATCTTCTAATTCAGTTTTCATACTGCTGTCTGGCAGTTCATCATGAATGCGCGGTAGCGAGAAGGCAAGAACACAACATGGGGAGAGAGGGCTGGAGCACAAGAGCATAAGGTGGCCAAGGGCCCCGGAGTTTCCTCTCTGTTGGATCCACAGACTTCTCATAATGATCCCGATGCTAAACTCCAGCCTTTGAGAATCAATACATCGGGTGGCACTGTGTTTGGGGAGGTGGGAGGCTCCTCCCCTCTTGTCTCCACAAGTCTGCTCTAGGACATGCTTTTCAGCTCTTACTTTACAGTACCTGGGACTTGACTGCCTCCTTTTGTTTTATTTTTTGGGATAGGGTCTTGCTATGTAGTTCAGGCTGGCCTTGAACTCACTGGGCAGCCCACACAGTCTTGAACTCATGGCAGTCCTCCTACTGAGTCTCCCAAGTGCTGAGATTATAAGCACACATCTCTAAGCCTGGCATTTGCTACCTCCTGAAAGAGCTTTCCTTTGGTTTCACAAATCCAGAATATTCATTTTATCCTGATTTTCTGTTTCATATTGTGATATTTCTCAGTCTTTCTGCACCTCCAATATCTTGTGTTGTCTGTTCTACACATGAATGCTTCTCTAAGTACAGCCCTGGACTAGCAGCTGCAGCATGGTGTGGGGACAGTTATTGGCAATGGCTTGACAGTTATATGTCCTAACCAAGTATTGAGCTTGGTGCCTGGTGTAGCTGTGTTGGGAGCTGTCTCCTTTAAGTCACTAGAAGGAATGAAACTTTACCTTGCAGAAGAGTTAGGTTTCTCTGAATTGGATCAGTTACCCCTAGAGTGGGTTGTTATGAACTGGGTTGGCCTCTCTCTCTCTCTCTCTCTCTCTCTCTCTCTCTCTCTCTCTCTCTCTCTCATACACATATGTGGTCTTCTACCCAAGCCTACTTTCCTCCCATTTTTCCTCCGTGAGTAGGTGTAGCAAAAAGCCACAACTAGGCCATGCACGCAGTCCCCTTTTGCACATAGCCAGTTCCCTTGCTCCTTTTCTGCCAAATTGTCACTCAGGCAAGGTACCCTCACCGGAGGCCAAAGGAGGGTGGCCTGATCACAGACTTTCCACCTCCAAATCTGTGAGCTAAATTAACCATCTTTATTTATAAAGTAATGAGGCTCTGGTATTCTGTTATTACAACACAAAACAGACTAGAAACCACTTCAAGACTTGATCTCCACTCCCAAAGGTAGCTTTTAAAGAATAAGATACAAAGTAGAAGGAAGACTGATTTTCGTCCTTGCTGCCTTTCAGTGTGGCTCTCTGCTCTCAACTTCTGATCTGAGGGAGGCCCCACCCCTCAGGGAATGCCCCACCCAAAGTTCACTCCACCTACCGCACTGGTCTGCTCAGACTCATCCTCGGGCTTGGCTTTTATGTCAACAACTCCATCGGCGTGGCGGAAGGAACAATCGGCAAGGACATCATAAAACTCCAGCTTCTGAGCCGTCAAGCCATATTTCTGTAGCCACTTCTCAGAGTCCCAGATGTCTTCTGGATTTGCCTCATTCTGGACAGATGCTGCTCCTGACTCTGTTTTGGGGATCACAGTTCATCAGCCATTCATACTGTATGAGCCATTCATGTCATCCCCCAAACCTTGTGCTGACCAAACTGGGGCATGGTCACCGTAGATCACAGGAAAATACAGGACTTGGAAGAAGTTAATTCACAACACTGAGCAGCAGGAATCTATTTTTCCCCTCATTTCCTCCTCTACTTAAATTGCCTGGCCCATGCCTGCATGGAGTTGGATGACAGACCAAAGCTGTGAGTCAGGAGAACATTAAATTCAAGGTCAGAAGCTCTGAGCTCAAGTCCTGACTCTGTCACCTACTGGTTAGGTCCAGTTGAGTAAGTCATCCCCTTTGACCTCTCTGAACTTAGGCAGCTCAGGTAGCTTCACCTGCAGATGGAGACCATGTCTGCTCAGCCTTCCTCAGTTTTGGGCAGCAGTTTGGTGGAAAGAGTCACACGACAGTGCTCTCTGATAGAGAGGAAAGAGAAGAAAGACACACAGCACAGCCTATGGGTACATGAAGAGTCTCAGCCTGCAAAGGCTGGTGGGCTGCCCTTAATCAATCTCCTTGATCCTTTGGTGAGTGCTTTGCTGTTCAGAGCCCAGCTCTCAGCTCTGCAGGCTCAGAAACCTTATCCATCAGTTCAGATGCCCAGAGCTATATTGGGGACAGGTCACCTTAGGTTCACAAGTTAAGGTAGAACCCAGAAGGTTAACTGCCCAAGTATAGCATTCCCAACTTTCAGCACATCCCTTGGTGATTTCCCGTGGTCACTTGTACAGTCATGTCTTGGTATCTCAGGCCACTGGTACCAAGAGCCCTTGTAGGTACCGAAATCTGCAGATGCTTAAATCCCTTGTATAAAATGGTGTGGTATTTACATAGAATTTATGCATATTCTCCCATATGCTTTACAAAGATCTCTAGATAACATATCTAAAACAACATAAATTCCATGTAAATAGTTGTTATAGTCTGTGGTTTAGAGAATAATGATTTTAAAAATCTGTACATCTTCAGTACAGACACAATTTTCCCCAAATATTTTCAATCACTATTTGGTTGAATCCTCAGATGTGAAACCAAAGGATACAGAGAATTGATTGTAATTAAAAACTAGCAATCAATATTAGGGAAATAAAATATTACCCACATACCCTTCACTGTATTTAAGGGCTACATAATTAGAATAAGATGTGCAGAGACAAAATTCTTTAATGCCCTTTTTTTCTCAGTAATACATAAAGGAGCTGTCCATTAGTGCTTCCTGTGAGCCATGTCCTTGCATTTTAACAAAATATCTTTGAAAGAATCCATCTGAAACTACTGGAGCTGGAACTTATTGAAGAAACTTGTTTCAACTTTTGAACTTGAAACCAGCACAGCATCAGAAGCCACTCTGGGCTCTATGCGGGATGGTAGAGGTGGTTTCCAAGGAATCACGGTGTCCACCCAACCTTCCTTCTAGGGGTTCGGGTCAGAGACTCCCACAGTTTCTCATCCCTGTGGTTCTCTAGAAATCTGTCCTGCATCCCAAGGAAACAGCAAGAAGCATGAAGCTGTTTTTGTCAGGGAGAAACCTGCCTGTGACATTTCCTCAATTATTATTAATTACTAAGTCTCTCCTATGTAGGGAGGCATTTTCTTTCCCCTTTTTCCTGGTCAGTAGGTGTACTGTAGCAGTAGGAAATAAATTTTGATTCCATCGTTTCCATAGTAACACACACTGGGCCACATGCTTCTGCTCTGTCCTGGGTTGACAAGAAAAAGACAAAAGCCTTTTATCAAGTTTAGGTTCCAGGTGTCCATAAAAGAGCTTCCTAAAAACACATGAACCAATGCTCACAAAGGTTTTCAAAGAGACAGAGACTAGCATTGAACTCTCAGCATCACCCAGGACTAGGCAGCAAAGCCTCTGGAGAACGCAGTTCAGGCTCTCATTTACCATCTGAAAGCGGATTCAGCTAAAGAACCCCAAACAGCTTGGACTTTCATAGAGGAAAGAAGGGGCAGCCGAGCAATAAAAAACAAGGAGCTAGGTGCTCCAAGGCTAAAGAAAGCAGGAAAGAAATGAAATCTTTTCTGTTTTAGTGCTAATGACACCAATTAGCGGCTGAGCCTCGTTTTCCCCAGGAGGAGAGAGGAAGGGCATCATCTGCTCATTAGCGTCACTTACTAAGGGGTTCTTTCCATTCCCCTGCAGTCATTTTAATTAAAAGTGTTGCATGGATTCTCACCTACAGAGCCTTCATTTACTATAGAGGTGTGAGCTCGCAGCTACTGCTGATTACATGTGGCTTTCCTGTTCCACTCGACAGATTGTTAAAGATTTTCTTTCAGCCATGAACAAGGGAAGCAGATGGCAGAGCTCATCGACATCCCCAGAATTTACTTGCCTGGCCTTGTCCATCCTACTTATCAATCTCAGAACAGTTTTCAAGGAATAAGGTATTCTGGCCAATGGCTTTTCAAATCATCACTGTTATAGCCAAGGCCACAAGAAAATGATAAACCTGACATAATTTAGCATATCCACTCTCTCCCTCAACCCTTGCCCCCATCTTCAGAATCTAGCTCCCCAAACACTCCCAGCCATCAGGGATTTATTCACCTCTCCCATAACTGCCTTCCTCCATCCTCCTCCTCTGAAAGTTATGTCTGCCACTTCATTCCTGCCAGGCCAGGTTATCGCGCCGTTCAAGAGAACTATCAGTGAATGAATAAACTAGATCTGCAGAGTGATGTTTCCACAGCAGGTCCCACAAACACTGTCTCCACTGCTTGCCAGGGACAGTGACTCAGAAAGGGGCCCCTTGGGCAAAAATAATGGGGAGTGTGAAATGCAGTTTCTAGGGGTGCTTCATCGCAAGTTGTCCCTAAGCCTCTCTTTTGAGAATGGACAGGGGGACTCACTACAAGCAGGATCCCAGAGGTATTGGGTCCCAGTCTCTGCACAGGACCATGCAGAAGGCTTGCATTTTAGGGACAACAGCTTGATGTATGCTATTCAACACCTCTCATAATTACAGTTGTCACGAGACACTGAACAAATCCTTGGCCACCATAGGGAAAGTGTTTATGGGAAAAGGATGCTGTGGATTAGCTGAAGAAGAAGAAGGTGGAAGGAAGGAAAGGAGGGAGACAAGAAGGAACAAAGGAAGAGAGGGAGGGAAGAGAAGGAAAGCATGAAGCAAGGAAGGAGGGAGGTGAGAAGGCAAACAGAATTGAGGACAGCTGGGAAGAGAGGAATAAAGACAGCAACTACCAGCAAAAGAAATCCAGGTCCCACCTACTGGAGACATGAGTGAGGCTTCAGCAGCATGAGCCAGCACAGCAGATGGTAGCTGCAGGGCCATGGGTCCTCTGACGGTGAGATGAAGCCTGTCTTGCTCTGAGGCTCAGGGGACAGGTGGTGACAGAATGGGGTGAGAGAGCAGCTGGTTCCTGAGCAGTCCCAGCATCTGCTGGACTTTTTGCTAGGTGTTTTTTGGGTTTTTGTTGTTGTTGTCATTCTGAGCCTATGTGCTTGGCACGGCAGGGCTACCAGGCCAGGAGGATGAGGGAGACAGAGGTGGAAACCCAGCAACCTTCTACAGAATGGGTCCACTGTGGAGACTGAGGCAAATGTTTGTAGGAGTGACCCGGGGCTGCTCACATTAGGGCCAAGGCCCAGTGATGGACCTGTGATCAAATGTCAAGTCTGTGACTGGGTCTAAGTGGGAAGTTTTAGAGTTTGTCACATAATCTTGAGGAAGTCTATTAGGAAAAAAAACTTAATGGGAGATAACGGGAGAACAGGAAAGAATTCTAATGAATTCTAGGCTCTTCGTCCCCTGGAATATTGTAAAATCATATTTACTTCCGCCTTGTATTGCTTGTAAAATCAAAGTAGAATCTCTGTTGTAATGAAGGGTTCCGTAGCTTACCCAGCTATTTATAAATCAGTGGGAAAAACGATTCCAACCCTGAGTGTCTCTAATTCCTGTCATCTTCAGGAGGTGAAGGGGAAGAGAGAGAAAGCAATTAAAAAATAGTGAAAAGAAGCAGATGTAGGAATAAAGAACAAAAAGCCCCAGTAATGAAAAGAACACAGGAACACAGAAGAGGAGTTCACACCCTCTCAAAGACATGGTTCTATGTTTCTCTCACTTTCTCTTCTGCCGCACAATTCTCAAAGAAGGAAACTTTAAAAAATTACTTAGATGTAGTCTGTGAATGAGGCAGCTGCAGGAAGAATGTCTGAATTCTTCAACACCTGCAGCTGATTGCTGAGAAATACACAGTGAGAGTCATTTTAGTTTAGTGATAAACTCATATGAAGATGAGAATAAACCACAAAGGGGGTGCGGACAGCCACATTTTAATGTGCATACATCAAAGGGGATGCTTAAAATAAATAGGTAATAGTTGAGGATCAATGAGGTAACCATCAAATTTTACCCTGCACAACTATTTCTTTTAAAATAGCCATAACGTGGTGAGATAAACACAGACCATTTCAAGACGTTTGGTACAAAATAGAACTGAGATGAGGAAGTGACAAAAGATAAACAGGAAATTTTAGGCTGAAAGATTTTAAATTCACACGGTAAATAGTGAGGATCCGGTTATTGGCCTTTTTATTTTTGAATTGTATGAGTCTTATATTTCTTTGGGTCTACAACCTTATCAGATACATAATTTGCAAATACTTCCATTCTACAGGCTGTCCTACTTTCTTGATAGTGTCCATTGAAGCATAAAACTGTAAATTTCTTGAAGTTCAATGTATCTATTTTTTTCCTGGGTTCTTTATTTAACTGTTGCAACCAAGAACTATTGCCACCCTAATGTCACAAACATTTTCCCTTTGGTTTTCATCTAAAAATTTCACTGGAGTTTTATCTCTTACACTGAGGACTTTGATCCATTTTGAGTTAAATTTTTGTTTATGGTGTGAGGTAGGAGCCCAGCTAAATTTGTTGGGTTTTGATATCCAATTATCTAGGCAGCATTATTGACAGATTATTCTTT